TTTAAGGCCCCTCCCATCTCTGGGGAGCAAACAGGTGGCTCTGATCTCAGTCCAGCCACTGCGCACTGACAAGGCCCATTTGTGGTTCTCTCCCAGGTCACTGGGGCCCTCCACTGAAGGAGATGGAGTTTTGGGAGAACAAACTGGGGGTGAGTCCAGGGCAGGCCCCCAAGGCCAAGAATCTAGCCCCAGCCCTGGACACTGGCAGGCAGAGCAGAGGCCCTGAGCCATCTGCAGCCTGGCGGGCAGTGGTGGTGTCTGGGTGTTACGATCCCAGCTCAGATAACCAACTCCCTGTGCCCTTGCAAGCCCTTGAATGTCCCTGAGCAGACTCCACTAAAACGGGTAAACCCAGTGCCTCACAGACCTCGCAGGCTGTCAGCAGGCGCTAAACAAGCTCTCATACCGAATCCTCCACCCCACCCAGCTTCTGCCTGTTTTAAAGCACATGCAGACTTGGATGCGTCCCATCCTTGGGGAGGCAGGAAAGTGCAGGGAAAGGCAGGGAGCTGTCCTGGCCACCTTGGGCCAGCCCTGTCCTCCTCCACGTGCCCTGCCCGGCCTCCTGGCCTTGTGGAGAGTGCACAAAGCATTCACTAGGTAAAGATTCTCTCTCTCCTGCTCCTTTAAACAAGTCCGCAAGTGGCCATTATTAGGAACACCCCCTTTCATGGCCAGGGAGGCAGAGACCAGAGGGGAAAAGGAATTCAGTATAGGTCACTGAGCAAGGGAGTGGCGCAGGGTCTGACCCAGGGTCACAGCCAAGACAGGGAGGATCTGTCTTGGTCAAGAGCCCTGAGCTCTGTGCTGCAAGGTTTGAGAGACATGTATTCATCAAGCACCAGTGGGGCCCCAAACCTGCCTGTGGGACTGGCTCTCAGGGCCCTGGATTAGGCCTCAGTGCTCTGGCCCTGGCTGGCTTAGATTCCGGTACAGGGGTCCCAGGGAGGGCTCCAGGACCAGGGGAGGGTCCTCCCTCCAGAGTCCTTCCTCTCTCCAGGTACAGCTCCAGGGAACATCCTCCAAGAAGCCTTTAACCTGCTGCCAGCCCCTCCCGGCCTCCTGCACTTCATTCATTACTGTGGTCGCCACTGTGCAGGTGTCTGGAGTCACAACATCTGATGCCATAGGAATGAGCATCCCTGGGTGTTTCCGGATGCAGAATTCTCCAGTCACAAGTAGTAGTTTAGGCAAAGGAAAGAATTCTCTACCTGTGGGCCTTTGTCCAGGGGCCACGGAAATCCCAGAGCTCTGGGTACAGGTGAAACCCTTTTCCCCAGAATGGCCCATGCCTGATTTCCTCCCTACACATGCCACCCCCCTGCCACAGCCTTCCTGAGCCTGCATGGGGAGGTAAAGATTCTCTCTTTCCTGGTCCTTTAAACAAGTCCGCAAGCGGCCATTCCTTCCCCTAGGCCCCTCCCTCATGGGGAGGGCACCCCACCAGTGCTTCCCTGTCCCCGGCCAGGCTGCAGTAGGGGTCCTGGCTCCTACTCCATCCCCGCATCCTCTCCCGTCAGAGCATATGAGAGCCAGGTTCAGCTGTGGGAGGTTAGGAGGGGGCCTTTGCCATCTGAGTCTCATGTGCTCAGCACATGCCTCTACCTGAATGTGCTCATGAGATCTTAGCAGAAAGTCGGAGGGGTGGGAAGGTGTGGGTCCAGGGAGCTTGAACAGTGGCCCAAGGTCACATGGCTGGGAGCTGTGACATCTGATTTGGGTGGGTGGTCTGGCACACTCAGAGCCCATGTGCAGAGGTGTACAGTCCCAGGGAAATGAGGGCATGTGTGCCGGCTGCCAGGAGGCTGTTCTGTTCCCTCTCCCAGAGCTGCTGCCCTTCCCCCAAACCCCCCGAGACCCCAGGTAGCCCATCACCCAGAATGAAGAGGGCTGAGGGAGCACATAAGCACCAGTGTGCACCGGGCCGGACGGGGCTTTCAAACACACACCTCCACACGCAGCCTTCAAAGAGATCAAATGCATTTAATGTGGTCTAGTCTCTTGGCCTATGTCTTCAGATATCGCTATGTATTGAAAATAACATGAAAATTCTCCAGTTTCACCATTTAAAATAGATTTGACATTCTATGACATCACACAGGGCAGACACCCCTGTGCATGGCCTTCATCCCAGCAGGTCCCCCACCCCCTGCAGCCCTGCTGGGACTCTCGGCAGGGAGAGGCTGGGCTGCACAGCACCAGTGGGGCACGGGGGTGGGGGGCCTCCACCATGTTCTAAGTGGCACACACAGGCAGGCACTCCTCATGGCAGCTGCTGCTCAAACACTCATGCATGCTCATGCTCATGGGGACAAATACACGCAATCCATGCGCACACACTTACTTTGGATCAGTGAACTCACTCACACATGAAGACATCACCTTGAGCTCAGATAGTGCCCATCCACAGATGGCCCCACCCACAGAATGCCCTCAAGGCCATGGAGCAGAGGCCAGTGGGCTCAGCTGTCCCCATGTCCACAGCCAGTGCCCACCTGAGTGCTGTATGCCCAGGCTTACAATCTGGTAATTTAAACCAATGCCCACATATAAAACACACACACACACAGATATACCCGGGGTAAATGTACACACAACTATGTGTGTGTGTATGTACACATGTACATATCATGTGTAGGTGTTCTCAGCCCAGAGTCACACACATACGGAGGTCATCGTGTGCACACATCTGTACAACACCCCCATATGCAATGAATCCATGTACTCATGCACTTACAGAAACATTGCACACGTTTGACTCACACCAGATGAGACGATTCCACTTATGAACACACACACTTGGTGTGCACATGCTTACACTCACACACACACTTCTGCCAGCTCAGCCCCTTTCCCATGTAAGCACCTCAGTGTCTCAGGGTGGAGGGCACCAGAGGCCATGTCCTTGGCCAACTCCAACCTCCACACCTGTTCAGGCTGTGGAGACACTTCTTGGAAACCCCACTGCCTGGGGAGGCCAGGGTGTGAGAAGGTTGGCACGCACCTGCACAGCACATACACAACATGCCACGTACACACGAATGCACAAGTGCTCCCCACTCACCTGTGCTCAGTGCATGCACTGCACATGGCACATAGCACACTCTATGGCTTCACATGCTCTCCACGCACATGCACACATAGGCACACATAGCCCTTCCCAGCACACACACCCAGGGGCGATGCGACCTCACTCCACACACACACTTCTCCTCCACACACATCCACCCTCCTGTTTCAAGTGCACTAAAAAGGGAGACTATTTTGGTCTTTAGCACAAGCAATAAATAAATAAATAAATAAATAAATAAAGGGGAGGAAAAAAAGAGGGCAGAGAGATTGAAATCACAGCATCCTCTTTTGGCAAGAGATGAAAGGCAGCTCGGCTGCTCTCCCGCAGGGCCTGTGGGCTGAACCATCCTGTGTGGGCCTGGCGGAGGTGCGCCAGGGTCCCAGGCCCTGCTCTGGATGGGGTGAGTGCAGGGCTAGTGCACAGGACCCTAGAAGGACCTCTGGCTGTTGGGCAGAGTGAAGCATGGACCCCTATGCCAGCGCCAGTGACCAGGGCAACCTCATCCTTCCCTGGTTCAGCTTGACAATGTGGGTAGGGATGAGTGGGTAAGTGTCCCCCTATCGACTAAGGCTGAGGAAGCCCTGACCAGGAAGGACCTGAGGTCCTGAGAGGGAAGAGGCCCCTCCACTGCTTTGGGCTGAGTCTTGTTGGCCAGAAATTAGGGGAGGGGGGGTCTGAGGTTAGGGTAAGAGGCCAGGAGTCGGGCCACCTCGGGGCACAGCCCAGGTGTCTCTGGGGGAAGCTGAGAGCTCATGCCCAGAACCTCCATGGCCCCAAACCTCCAGTCAAGTCTCAGCTGCGGGGCTGAGGAGGAGGGAAGATGCAAAAGGCCCCGCCTCGGGCCCCAGCCCCTCCCTGCCTCCCAAGTCCCACCCTCTCACAGGCCAGCTTTGCGCTCTGCTTGTTTCCCAACTTGAGCCAGAGTCCCTGGTGCCTTCTGGCTGTGAGCTGTCTTGGGGGGCACAGGTTGGCGTGGCCTGTGCAGGCAGGCTAAGGACACAGAGACTTTCTGATTACAGACCTCTCTATGGGCCTGGTCATTTGGAGGACGACATTCTTAGCTGTCCTCGGAAGGACTGCAGCTCCATCCAAGGGTCCAGCCCATCTCTTCTGCCAAGAACAAGCCCAAGTTGGGCAGCTTCTGGTGCACGGGGCTGCTTCTGGGTCAGCAGAGCCAAGCCTCAAACCTCTCCCTGACTAGGGTGCCTGGATATGTGTAATACTCTCAGTCATCTCAGATGGCAATTCCATGCCTTTCCAAGATCATTCCTCTGTCATTCAGCAGCAGGGCACAGCCTGACTGTGACCCACCTGGGCTCACCTGGGCTGCCCCAGGTGCAGGGGCACCCTAGGGTCGGCCCAGCCCCTGCAGACAGAGGGACTGGCAGGTGGAGTCGGAGACATCAGGACAGGCAAGACCCACAGAAACATCTGGAGCCGGACCACCCGGGGTCTCTAAGGCACAACTCATGCTGGGGTTCCCTGGGGATGGCTGATCCTCTTCCTCACAGTCTGGGAACCTGGCCTACTTTCTCATGGAGCCATCACTCCTACATTTACTTTCCCTCACTGTGGAAGGCCTGGAGGCCGCTGGGAAGAAAAGAGAGAGAAGGAAAACAGAATCTGGTGGGTGAGGGAGCAGACCCTGGGCAGGCAGGTCCCACATCTGGCCCTGAGATGCACCTCTAAGGTACAAAGTCAAACTCAAGAAGCTCAAACTAGTTTTTTCCCTGGCCTCTACCCCACCTCTGTGACACTGGAAAGCTTTCAGTATGATCATTGACATGTTCTTGGTTTTTCTATCACAAACGTAATCTGCTCTAGCCATGAGCCAGCACACAGTGAGCCTTCCTGGAGGAGAGGCCCGTCCACCTCAGAGAACCTTCTGGGACCTCTATCCAGCTGCCTGCATCTCAGCAGACCAATGGAATTCTAATTGTCCTTTTATTTTTTAATCCCATGAATTTAAAAAAAATTTTTTCAATCACTTAAATTTTGTTTTTTGTGTTATTTTGGTAAATAGTCTTACTCAAGGTAAGATTGAGAAAGCCAAACCCAGTGTTTCTCCCCAAGTTAAAAACCAGCGAGGTACACTGTGACCTGCCAGCCTTTGCCCACAAGGCTGGGTGGCTGCCGTGCTGTTCCCAGGCAGACTGCAACTCTATCCTGGCGCCCAGAAGGCCACCTCTGTGCACCTACTCCAGCCTCAAAGGCTGGGGGCAGCCCACTCCAGCCCCCAGTCTCTGGCCAACTTTCTGACACCATTCTGAAGAAACACAAAACATCTAAAATGCTACTGAGTCTGCGACCCGGGCGCCTGGCCCGCTCTGCTGAATCGGGGCCCCCTCAGGACACCGGGCCTCGCCCTGGCAGGGTGGATGCCGCACCTTGGCTGACGGTGGCTCAGATCTCTGACTCCCGCCTATAGGGCCGCTGCTCCAGGCCTCCACTGCTGTTGGCCTGGGGCCTGTCAAAGTCATGCCTGGCCTGGGGGCTGCAGCTGTCCTGGTCTCCATCCGCCTCGTCCTCCTCGTCGCGGCTCAGGAAGGCCAGCTCATTCTCATAGCAGAAGGAGTTGGCACTGGGCAGCAGGAACTTGCTCTCCACCAGTTCCTTGGCACTGCAGCGGGGCGTGGACGGTACCTCGTAGGTCTTGTGGAAGTGTGAGTAGTCAATTTTGTACTGGTTCTTCTCCTCAAAGAGGACAGGCTCGAAGCGGTGGCCCCACAGAATCTCGTTGGCCAGGTAGGAGCTGCGGGCCTGGGTGGTCATGGCTGTGGCCTCCACCATGCCCTCCAGGATGACCACGATCTCAAAGTCGTCTGTCTCCAGGTCCTGCTGGCTGATGCCGAAGAGCGGGCTGGCCTCATCGATCTCATGCAGGATGGTGATGGGCGACACCAGGAAGATGCGGTCGAGACCCTTGTCGAAGCCGACGTCGATATCGATCTGGTCCAGCGGGATGTACTCACCCTCCTCCGTGACCCTCGGCTTGATGAGCTGAGCCCGCACATGGGCTTCCACGATGTGGCTCTTGCGCAGGTTGCCCACACGCCACATGAGGCAGAGCTTGCCATCGCGCAGAGCCACCACGGCGTTATGGCTGAACAGCAGCGTCTGCGCCCGCTTCTTGGGCCGGGCCATCTTGGCCATGATGGCGCCAATCATGAAGGAATCGATGATGCAGCCCACGATGGACTGCGCCACCACCATGAACACGGCCACAGGGCACTCCTCCGTCACACAGCGCAGCCCGTAGCCGATGGTGGTCTGTGTCTCGATGGAGAAGAGGAAGGCCGCCATGAAGCCATGCACCTGCATGACACAGGGCGTGCGGCCCCGGCCCTCGGCTGGCTCCAGGTCTCCATGGGCCACGGCGATGACCCAGAAGATGACACCAAACAGTAGCCAGGAGGCCAGGAAGGCCAGCGAAAAGAGCAGCAGCATGTAGCGCCAGCGGATGTCCACACAGGTGGTGAACATGTCGGCCAGGTAGCGCTGTGACTTCTCGTCCATGTTGGCAAACTCGATGTTACACTGGCCATTCTTCTTCACAAAGCGGTTCCGGCACCTGCGCCGTGTATGCACCTTTCCGTTACCAAAGCCGTTGGCACCCGACATGGTGACCAGATGCAGCCCGTCCTCTTCCGACGACACGATGCTGTAGGGGTTGGCCCGGCCGGCTGTGGTCATCCCGGGGACAGGGGGGCCCTGGCTCGTCCCCAGGCCGGCTCCGGAAGGGGCAGCCCCTGGAACAGAACATAGACTGGCTGGGGGACGGTCCGCAGGGCCCCGCCTATGCCCCGCCCACGGCTGGCGAAGAGGCAGGGACCTGCCTTACCCACAGGCCCCTGAGCTTTCTTCCCACTGAAAGCTTCCCCACCCTCCCTCTCAGCCTGGAACACTGACACTCCATCCTACCAGTAGCTATGGCCGAAAACCTTGGATTCTTCCTCAACTCCTAATACTCCCACACCAAGAGCTCTGCTTTCAAAACATATTTAGGACGCAAGCCCTTCTCCCACCCTCACAGCCTGAGTGCCTGTCATCACCCACCTGGACCAGCATGACAGCCATCTCGCCAGCCTGCCCGCTCCCACCCCAGCCCGGGTCCAGCAGCAGCCAGGGAAAGCCGTCTGGCCACCCTCAATGCCAGAGTCCCTGCTGCACTAGCAGGGCCCATGTGGGCGGAGCCCAGGCTCAAATACCCCAGCAGGTCCCCACTGCACCCCCACAGCACCGACCTCTGACCTAGTAGTGGGAGAAGTGACAGCAGTGATGCCACGCTCTGGGCTGCCCTTGCCCCCCCGTCCCTACCTCAAGACCAGGGCCTGAGCACAGGGAATTTGCTGTTTCACCCTCCACTGTCTTACAAGCAGGGCCTGGCCCTGCAGAGCAGCCAGCTGGGCCCCACCACTGTCCTGACGCTCACACATTCTGCCCCAAGCCGCCCACACTCAGCACCAGTCACCCTGTCCTTTGCCTCACCAGCAGTAGCTAGGAGAAAGTCCCTGAATTGGCACACAAAGGGGTCATTGGCTGGCTGGCCTCCTCCTAGGGGCCTTCCCTGCCCCTGCCTCCTCAACTCTAAACAAGAGCACATGGGCAGCACCCAGAAGGGTCACAGTCCTCCGCCCACCAGGGGAGCACCTGGCCAGCCTGCTGTCTGTCCGTCTGCACACTGATGCGCTGGTACGCTATGGCAAGGCCAAACGGCTTTCAGAGTCAGCAGACAACACCCAGAACCCAGACATGCAGGCCAGCAGCTGTGCCTCCCATGCCCTGAGGGCTCTGGACCAGCCTGCTAGTGGCAGGCTGAGGAATCTGTAAGCTGGGAGTCATGGCACTGCCTGGCACCAGGGGCACTGAGGCCATCTGGCCATTAGCATGTGGGTGCTCAGGACCTCAGCCTGGCTCAGTAGGGCTGGACAGGAAGGAGGAGAGATCCCTCAGCCAGCTGGCCTTGCCAGGGCATTGAGGAGTTGGGCCTGTTCCTCCCCACCACTGGAGACCTCACACACCCCCAACCCCCACCTGGCCATACAAAGTCAGAGCTAGATAAAACAGAGAGCCCTCCAGTGCCTGGATGACAAGGAGGCCTCAGGTGAGCAGATCCCAGGGTGGCTAGGCCAGGAGCAGAGAAGCAGGTGGTTGGGTACCCACTGGAGGCTCAAAAACCAGAAACGACATAGGCAGGAGAAGGCAACTATGGGATTCAGTCTTGATTTATATGACCAGGTGCATCCAGAGCATTGGAGAGGCATGATCCCTGACCTCTGCTCCAAATACCTAGGAGACAGGTCAGGGTAAAGCCCAATGACCAGCCAGGCTACAAACCCCTCCTGGGTTCTCCCTCAGTCGTGCATGGGTTAGATCCCCAGAGCTGACACACAGTAGCTCTTACTGCTCAAGAGAACCAGCTCCTCAAACAGCAGCAGGCCAGGCCAGATGCATCAGCAAATGCCCTTAGTGTGTCCTCTCCACAGCCTGAGGAGGGGCCAACAGAGGGTCAGCGTGGGGAAGTGACATTCCCAAGGCCACCAAGCCAACAAGCAGAGAGCTGAGATCCAAACTCCTTTTGCCTGATGTGAGGTCTCTGGGCATAGGGACCCTAGGCCCTGCAGGGCCACCCTCCCTGTACAGCTGCTCTAGCTGACCACCTCACCATGGGTCTGAGATGCTGGGGCCTGAGGCCATAGTGGCGGGTGCTGCTTCTGCCTGGGCCAGGAGGCAAGGAGCCGGCAGCGGTGGGGACCCCAGGCACTGTACCAGGAAGATGGCACAGTCCCAGATTCCTGGGCCCTCCATGAGGAGGTGGCCAGGGTTAGGGTACTAAGACGCTGGCAGGAGGCCACCAGATTGCAGGGGGCAGGTTTGTGTGGCCCGGAGGCCTTGAGGGATGTCCAGTGGGTCATGGTTGCTACAGCTGGGCTTCAAGCAGCTCGAGGCCTTCAGGGACAGAATTGCAAGAATCAAAGTCCAGAGAGCCCAGCCTGGCACGCTGCTCCCGGCAGCTGGACAGCCTCACACCCAGCCAGCTCCCAGGCAGGTAGGGGTACTGTGGTGACTCCTGGCATCTCTGCCAGGCTGGGCACCTGAGACCCACCCAGACTGTGTCACACAGTCCTGGGAACACCCTCTTCTGTTGACGCTCCTTCTAAACCACACAGAGAAAATCTACAAGATCATGTTCACACCCTCCTCCCCCATTTCTCAGAGCTGAAACTGAAACTCATAGCAAAGTTGCTCGTCCAGAGTCACCCAGGAACTAGGAAACAGGTACAGACGGAGCCCTGGGTATCGTACCCCACTCTGCTGTGCGTGTGTGCATGTGTGCGTGTGTGCACTTGTGCATGGGCGCTAGGGTCACAGGGTCCTGACAGACTCTTGGTGAACACAGCACCACAACGGAAGACCCAGGAAGGGTCCCAGGAGTAGAAACCCCCGCACCACAAGCTTGCCAAACATCCTGAGGACACCCCATGCACACAAACACAGGCGTGGCAAGGTTACCAGCTCTGGAGTCTTTAAGAACTATGGACAGTATCTTCAGTCGGAGACAGACAGGCCTGTCTCTAGACTCTTGCTCAGTGGGCACATATGGTCAGTCATTTAAGAGATGGATTAGATTTGCTTGCTGGAAGAAGCCTTAGCAAGCGAGGAGTCTGGCTCCCTGTTTCATAGATGGGGAACTGGGCTGAGGCTTGTCCCAGGTCATGAAGGAACTGGTGGGTTGGGATGAGATGGAACAATAACAGTTAGGACCATTGTTGGAGTTGCCCAGGTTGGCCAAGGGGACTCCCAGGCACTGCTGGCCGGGGAACGGGAGAGGGGTGCTGGAGCACATACTACCTGAGCCACACAGGCGACTGCAGTGGTGGAGATGGAGCAAGGCAAGCCCAGCGGGCAGAGAGCAGGCAGTGAAGAGTGCAGACCAGGGGCCCCTGAGATATGGAGAAGCTGCCCCAAGCCCTGCTGGCCACAGACTCCTGGCATCCAGCATGCTTGGAGCACTGGCAGGGCCTGGGCTGGGAGCTTTTAGACAGGCAGCCACCACATGACCTGAGGGTGGGGCACGAAAGTCAGCATGAGGTGCCTCCGAATGGGGTAAGACATCCCATGCCCAGTCCCCTGAGGCTATGGGTACCTCAGGTTTCGGTGACATCTGGGGGAGACCAGGGCAAGGCCTGGGCCAACATTCTCAGATGTCAAGGAAGCACTGAGTGGAAGGGCCAACAGGGGGCTTGTGTGTGGGGGGGACTCAAGGTCCCCTGCTCTCAGGGGCCTTTCATCTGGCAGGAACCCCTTCACAGGTATGCACATAGTAATCAATATTTATCGGGAGCTTATCACCTGCCAGGCACTGTTTTAGTAGCTCTAATTATTTCACTTAATCCCACAACAGCATTATGGCTATTATCCCCATTTTCCAGATGAGTAAACTGAAGCTCAGAAAGATTGAGTAACTTGTATAGCATCACACAGCCTTTAAGGAGTGACTTCCCAAGAAATAACAAGTGTTGGTGAGGATGTGGAGAAAAGAGCCCTCATATATTGCTGGTGGGACTGTGAACTAGCATAGCCACTGTGGAAAGCAGTATGGAAGTTTCTCAAAGAACTAAAATTAGAAATACCATACAACCCAGCAATTCCACTTCTGAGAATTCACCCAAAGAAAACTAAATCACTAATTCAAAAAAATATATGCACCCTTATGTTTATTGCCTCATTATTTACAACAGCTAAGATACGGAAGCAGCCCAAGTGTCCCTCAATAGATGAATGGATAAAGAAGAGGTGGTACATTTACACAATGGAATATTATTCAGCCATGAAAATGAAAGAAATCCTGCCATTTGTGACAGCATGGAAGGACCTAGAGGGTATTATGCTCAGTGAAATAAACCAGGCAGAAAAAGACAAATACTGTATGGTTTCACTTATCTGTGGAATCGAAAAAACAAAACAAATGAAAAAACAAACAAAACTGAAATTGACTCAGACACAGAGAACAGACTAGCAGTTGCCATAGTGGGGGTAGTGGGGGACGATGAAATAGATGAAGGGGGAGAATCGTGAGGTGATATCTCCATCTGGGTGATGGCTACATGAGTGTATACACACGTCAGAATTCATTAGGCTGAACACTAGGATATGTTCATTCAATTGCATGTACCTCACTTTTTTTAAATTTAAAAATAAATAAATTTGACAGGCGCACTAAAAAAATTTCATTGTAATTTTCAAAGCTTATGGGACATAATAAACATAATCCCAACTCATATTTTTTTAAGGACTAGTTCCAGCCACACTTGTGCTGATGAACAAGGAGTTCCCAGTCTAGAAGGTAGGAGAAACCAATCCCCAGTGCCCCGAGGCCCCAAGGATAGAGGGCAGGCATGACACTGCATTCTGCCATCAGTCCCTAATACCCTGGCAACCCACACAGTGGAAAGGCATACCAATACCCCTGAATCTCAGCCCTCAAAAGCAGAGGAAAATGCACACCAGCATCCCGACCCACAGCCAGGCAGCCCCTGCTGGGACTGTCCAGAGACAGGGCACTCAGTGTACCTCATGGTCAAGCCACACAATTGGAAGGATTCTTAGGAACCACTTGGTTCAGGGAAAGCTCATGTGCAGCCTATATGCACCTTCTCCCCAGGGTGTGCCTGCGGCAGACATCATTAATCTATCCTAAAACTTTTATTCACTGCATCCTGGGACAGCCTCAGAATCTTCCCTGTCCAGTCCCTGTCCATCAGACTTTGCACAAGAGCTTGAAGACTCCAATCCTTAATTTGCAGCCAGGGAGACTGAGGTTCCGAGACAGTCTCCCTTGCTCAGTTACACAGGGGGTGAGAGCAGGATAACTGGCTTCGGGACAGCCAAGAGTTGGCATGGAAAGGAGACAGAAGGCTGGGAGGGGGGACCATTTCCTGTCTCACAGTAGTGGAAAAGATCTCACGTGCAGAACTTTCCAGGCCAACCCTCTCCCCCAGTGCACAGACAGCAGCTGACCTCAGTGCACACCCATGGTCTGCAAACATCTGGGATCGACACAGCGCCAGCTTTCTGTGCCAGCCCGTGGCAGACTGGGAGAGAGAACGCGACCACATGCTACAATGTGCCAGGGAGGGGTGTTGGCACTTCCCCTGCCCCTCAGATTTCAGGGCCCACCTGCCCAATTTCCAATCACCCACCCTAGTCTTTTTGCCTGAAAGCTTCTTGGCCCCTGGGGCCCAGGCAGAAGGCAGGCAGGGGAATTAACACCCCAGGAGCAGCGTAGGTCAACAGGAGCTCTGGATGGTCTGGGGTCACCATGCTGCCTCCCCACAATTCTCAGCTACAGGTGTCCTGCCAGCAGTGACTTTGTCAACAACACACCCAGAAGGGCTGGTCCCCTTCCTGGTTTCACTTCCTCACTCTCTTCTAGTTATTCCCAGGATGACTCCCCACTAATACCTGCATAGGAACTGTGTCTCCTGGGCCCTTCTCTCCCACCTCCTCTCCTCCTCCCTCCCCTCCCTTGGCTCCTCCTCACTTCTCTCTGCGCCCTTCCTCCTTGACCTCCTCATGAGTCAGTTCACAGCCTGACTGCTTCCCCGCTCACCTGAGCCAGAAGCTTGGCCTCTCCCTCACCCTCGGCCTCACACCCCATCCCTTACCAGTCCTGTGTATTTTACCTTCTGAATTCTCAAAACCACCCACCTCCTCACCCACAGTCAACCCTCCTGTCCTGTCAGGCACAGCAACAGGCTCTGGTTGGCTTCACTGTGGTGACCCTCCACCCCGTGTGGTACAAACCCCGAATCACAGCACAGGGAATGTGCACAGTCCTCCTGCCTGTCAGCCATCAGCTGGCAGTCACCACCTCCACGAAGCCCTTTTGGACTGTCTGGCCCTGGGCTTCTCTTGTTAAGGCCAGAAACTACCTTCTACCTTGTGTGAGAGCCAGCTTTGCCCAGGACCCACCTCTGGGGCCCCGGGAGGCTGGTGAAGGCCTGGCACAGGGGACACCTGGGAGGTTCCCACTGACCAGACAGAAGTATGAGGAACAAAGCAGCTGAAAAGATGGTGGGTTGGTGAGTGAGGACTTGGATGTACATACCAGCGGGTAGTTGAGCATATAGATGAGTTAACAAGACTGAAAGATGGGTAGGGGGATGGATGGATCAGATGACCTACATGGGTAGATTACAGAGTGGATGGATAGATGGATGGGTGAGTGGGTGGGCAGATGGACAGAGAGATGAGGAGGTTGGTGGGTACATACGCGAGTGTTCAGTTTGGTGAATAACTAGATGAATAGGAGCATATCAGTGGCCTTGATCTCACCTCTTGAATCCTGTCTTCTAAGTAACGGTGCTGGGAAGGCACGTGGTCCTCAAGGCTGCATTAGCAGCAGCTGCCATTTCTCAGGCACCAGCTGAAGAGGGACCAGTCACCAGAAGGCCCTAAAGTTAACAAAACAATGTGAAATTGCTGTAGATGCTGCTGCTCTCCCCAGAGGGGCACTCAGAGGTCAGAAATTTCCACATGAACCCACATCTGCTTGCCTCCCCAAGCTCTGCTCCATGGGAAGCAGAGGGGACCTCAAGCCCACACCTCTGGTGTCCCACATCTTCTCAGCACACAGGCCTGTCCGTAAGCACCTCTCAGAACCAGGGAGGGGCAGCGCAAGATGAGGCCCCAGAGAAAACAGCAGCTGGTAAGTACCACGTGCCCACAGCACACCAGACACCATGGTAGGTGTCAGCTCATGCAGTCCTCATGAAAACGCCACGAGGTTAGAATTGTAACTGTTCCCATTCTGGAGAAGAAGGTAATGTGGGAATCTCTAACGGTCACAGAGGAACTCAAGCCCCTAGCCTGTATTCTTAGCCACTACCTGCAGAGCCTTCCCAGTGCCAACCACAGGGCCCAGCTGCGGACAGACGGATGGATTATGGATAGGTAAGTGGGGATGTGGATGGATGGATGATGGATGATCGATGCACTACAGATGGATAGGTGGGTGAATGGATGGATGGATGGGAGGGTAGGTAGATGGATGAGTGGGTGGGTAGATGCATAGGTGAATGGATGGATGGATGGATGGATGGATGAATGAGGTAGGTGGGTGGGTAGTATAGACTAACAGATAGATGAGTGGGTGGGGGTATAGGTGACTATATGGGTAGATGCACATCAGTAACTTGTCAGAGCATACTTTGGGCATACACACATCCTAAGTGGTCCCTGCAATTCCTAAGCCTCAGTTTCCCCATCTGTCAAAGGGGTTCCTGCTTTCTTCTCCAGTATCCTGTGAGGATAGGGGGAGTGTGGTGGGAAGAGGCTTCTTTCTCTGGCAAGCTGACTTGCTGCCCTACCCACCTTCCCCCACCTCCCAGTTATGGAGCCCAAGGAACCCCACCTTTTCACAGACAAGCTGGCTGTGAGCCACTGCCGTACTGGCTTTTCTGGCTTGGATTAAGGGAACTGTGGGTGAGTCACCCCCACACCATGGGCAAACTACAGCCATAGGTTTACAGGCACACAGACCTGGATTCAAGTCCCAGTTCTGCCCCTCACTGTGTGACCTTGGGTGAGTCACTTCCTCTCTCTGGACTTCCTCTCTAAAGGACTAGTCTGGCTAGTACCCTCACCCTCCAGGCTCAGCCCCCTGCTTCCCCATCTTCACCATTCCTGAGCAGCTGACATGGGCCCTGCCCTTCGCCTCCCTCAGCCCTTTCACTCTCAAGGCTGGTAGAGGCCTCACTCTGACCACTGTGGACCACACCTGGGGGTGTGCAAGGCAAGGATGTGTGCTGGGTCTCACTGCATGCACCTCCCCTTGAGTGGGCCTGCACTGTGCCAGCCCTGTGTGCTCAGATACTGCTTCAGTTGAGGGGAACATGATCCTCCCACTGGACAGATGGGGGACTGAGGCTAAGAGACACTAAGTCACCTGCCCCTCTCCCCTCAGCTGGAGTGCTGAGCAGGGGAGGAATGTTCAAGGGCAACAGGGAGCCAGAGAAGGTTCAAGAGAAGGGGAGAGGGGGAGAGAGGTGTGGTCAGCCCGCCCCTCCCCACTTCCTATTGGCCACTTGGCCAGCTCCAGGGCCTCTACATCTCAGTCCTGACTCCCTACCTCCTGGAACGGGCTTTCTTCAGGCCCACAAATCTAGTTAAATGTGTTCTCACCTGTGAGGAAGAAAAAATTAGCTCCATTCTACAGGGAAGCCAAGGCTCAGAGCAGGAAAGTGACTTGCCCAAGGTCACAGAGCCACTCAGTGCAGCCTGGGGACGAGAACCCAGGTCTGGATGGCCTGTCCAGTGCTCCCCTGCCACCCCACAGGGGCTGCAGCAGACATCAGCTCAACTGTCTTAAGTTCAACCAGATGCTTTCCTGGGTCATGGTCAAAGTCCTTGATGGGGTAGGCTGGGTAGGAAGGGTCAGATTGGCCCTCAGTCTCCCAGCAAGCGAGGGCACAGCCTGGACCTGACACTGGAGCGTCCCTCCTCCCCCCACCCCACCCTTGCCAACCTGTCAGCCAAGGCTAGGCTGAAACTGCCCCGGAGACAAGGCACCGCCCCTTCCTGACGCCCAGCTTCCTCCTCTGCAAAATGGGCTGATGGTGCCTGCCTGGCCTCCAGTGCGTGTGCCAGGAAATGCAATGTGCCAGAGGGGTTTCACTCTGGACACAGGGCCTGGAGCTGCGAGGCTCCAGAGGCCGGTAGTCAGCCCTCCCTGGAGGCAAGGGCTCAGAGCAGGAAAGGCCTGGCCACCTCTCAGCTGAGGGCCCTTCCGAGGCTCAGCCTCCTCATCTGCAAAATGGGTAGACTCCACTCACCCCAGGACACTAAGGGAGTAAATGAGACCTGTCTCAATGAGTGGCCCGTTCTCCCCGTGGGCTCAGGACATTCTCCTGCTCTGAACACCCACAGGGGCAGCTGAGAGCAGAAATGGGAATTCCTGATCCTCCCACACTGTCCCCTGCGATGGAGAGCACTCCCCAGGCAGTGAGGCAGGTGAGCTCCTGGCCGGGCCTGGCTGCCCTGCTGCTCTGTGCGTGGGCTGGAGCCGGCAGCAGATGGCGCTCGGGAGTGTGGGCTGCGGCAGCCATGCATGACCATGGCCCTCGGGCCCCCACATCTTGTGGGGGCCTGGACACACTGACCCCAGGGGTAGGCTGCACCAAGGGGCTAGGGGCCACCTCAGCCTCAAGGTGAAGCCAGGGCAGGAGGTTCTGGCCCCCAGGATGGACAATGGGTCATGCCAAAACCAAGGAATGTGTCCGGGGGTATTTTTATCTTGAGAACATCCTTTTACAGGGGGCAGGGCAGGAGGGAGACAGGGTGTTCTTGGCCCCAGGCCCCTGGGAGCAGCAGAGGACAGCAGCTCCCGGGCTCTTTCTACCACAGCAGCCATCACAGACACTGCCCCATCCCTGGGCTCCATGGAGTCCCAGAAGGGGGTTTCGTGGGGCTCCTAGCTCTGTTCCAACCCACTCTGTGACCGGGGCAGGTCTCTGTCCCTCTCTGGGCCTCCCTCTTGCACTCAGCTTCTCCTGAGGGCCTGCTCACACTGGGGCTCAGCTGGGGACTAGGGACCTGGAGACGGACCAGCAAGTGCCCGCCTGAGTGGCGGTTCCAGCCGAGCACAGGGGAGGCGGCAGTAAAGTAGCCATCACAGCCAGGCTGGATCAGAGTCCGGGTCAGAGCCCTCAGTGCTCAGGGGAGGCGTCTAACCCAGTCGGGGGCAGAGGGATTGTGGAGGGAGCAGCCAGAGTGAGAGCCCCGGCCAGGCTAAGGCCAGCCGCAGCGCAAGCAAGGGCACTCCGAGTCCCCTGGGTCAGGGCGCACACCCAGCCCCGCTCCCCACGCTAGGCCTTCAGCCAGGCTCTCGCCACCCCTGAGCCTCCCTGTTCCTGTCTGCAACGGAGGAGCTGGCCCTGCCAAACCCGACACTCCAGGATCCTAAAGGATTTGGGGCTGAGGAGGTTGCAGACAGATAGGCGGGGCACACCTTGTCACCCTAATAACAGGAAAGAACATGCATTGAGTGCCTATTTGCATAGGTGCTGGATCTGAAGAAACTGAGGCTCTGAGAGGCCCTGAATGTCCTATTAATGAGCTTGGATATGATCCCAAGGGCAATGGGGTACCAGAGGAGAATCTGGTATGAGCTCTGGGGCAGTGTGGCTCAGGTTCAAATCCTGCCTCTGTCCCTTCCTGTGTGATTTTGGGCAAGTCATATAACCTTTAAGACCCAGTTTTCTCAGCTGCAAAATGGGATTGATAATATCTATCTCATGTAGTGATGAGAGAGTTTCAGCAAGCAAGTTAATATATGGAGGTCACCCAGCTGGAGACTTCCTGCCCTGACCTGCTCCCATCACCACACCTCTGACTGAGTCCCTGACTCACTCCAGGAAGGGGTCACAGGCCCCTGGGGGGCCTCAGTGGACCTCACTCCAGCAGGAAGGGATGTGCACGTGGCCTGGGTGGGAAGGAAGCACAGGTGGAGGGGCCAGTGAGCAACAGCACCTTGGCTTCACTTTTTTAACAGTTGTAATTGTTCAAGCTTAAACTTAATTGAAGTCTCAGCCATCTCCTGAGCACTCAGCATGTGTACAGGAAAGCAAAGACCTGAGATAAAGTGATAAGAAACAGCCTGGGGCAGGAAAGACCATGAAAGAAAAAGCTGGAAAATTTGCCAACATAAAAATATTTATGATGTTGTTCATCAAAACACATCATAAGCAAAATAAAAGGTTAATGATAACTGTTTGTTATAAAAAGATGTATTTAATATATAAAGAGCTCCTATAAATCAATGAGAAAAGGATACAGTAAGAATGGGCAGAGGTCTAGGGTTGGGATCCCCACTAAAGACCATGTTATCCTCAGTGTGCAATGTCCTGGTAATGTCAGTGCCTCGGAGCCTCAGTGTGAGCTGACCCCTCACTGTGGGATGCCTTTGCTCTTCCTTCAGACTCAAAGGATGCCTCTCCTATAAAGCCTTCCAAGTTTCCCCCTGGGTCCCCTGCTGTTCCTTGATGAGTATTCACATGTTTCCTGGGCCCCTGGAACCAAGTCCTGACTTCATTTGGGTGCCGGGCATCTCATCAGTGTTCCAGGTGAGATGGCCCAAGCATCTTTGATAGAGGAGGAAATAAGGTGCAGACAGGAACACTGCCTTGTGCAAGGCTTCCAGTCTGTGGGCCACAGGGCTGAGCTAGCGCCCAGGCACCCTGCCTCTGGTCTCTGTAGGTGCTCTAGCCATCTCCTGCCTAATGAGCCCTCCAGGCCACCTTGCGCCCTGCAGGGAAAAGGCCCCATCTTAGGGCTGCATTTTTTCCTAACGTGCAGGACCCAGTGAGGCCTGTCTAGGTGAAGGCCAGCCAGGATCAGGGCTTGAGCCCCGGCCGCAGTCCCCCAGTGACCCAGACACCCTGTTGGAGGGAACATG